AACAACAAAATAACAATTTTGAGTAGTAATGGCAGGCCGACAGAAGTTCCCAAAGACGCATGAATTTACAAGTAGGTCCTAAAATTATCTACTCCATGAAGGTTTTTGCAGGTGATTTTGCAACATATGAATTATTTTGTTGGATTAACATAAAGAAGAAAGACATTATGGGGTAAAAAAAGAAACTTCTATTCAGACAGCAATTTTTTTGTTGGAACTTTTTTGTGCGGTAAAAAAAAAAAAACAGAGATTCTAAGTCATAGAAGTAAACTGAGAAACAAGAGAAATCTAAGCAAAAGAGTGGTAATGGAGTAGAATTCCCTAGCAATCATTAAACTTACTTGTTCAGCTTTAGGAGCAAAAACCATCAGAGCATAGAGTGGGAGAACACCTGCCGTTCCCAAGGTAAATGCATTATTAGCAATTTCAGAAGTTGTCAACCCTGAAAGTGTAAAGGCAACAAGAGTGTGAAATGAAAGTTATGGCATATGCAGTTTAGGAATGATAGAGGAATGTGATTTCCATCCTTGAACTACTACTTTAAGTCATTTCTGAAATTCATTGTTTCATGAGTTTTATCCCCAGTCGTGAAACCACTGTTAGAAAATATGAAAGCATAAGAATTCCTCAACACTGGTGTTGCAATAAATGGAAGACCTAGTAGTATCTTGCATATCTACCATTAAAGAAAGAAACTTAGACTAAACTACTATAGGTGCATCATGCATACCAATGGTGCAAAGAGCATATCATCACGTCTAGAGAACCAGCAAGCAACTAAGGTGGCAACGAATGGCATTGCAAGTGTGTGCAATTAGACAGGGAGATGGCAGGTGCAAGAACAAAGTTACTATTTGTGAAGACATCCAACTTTGTATGCTTGTCAGGCTACAGCAGGCAATATAACTTCATATGTGAAGAGAAAACTGCAAATAGACGTTCTTCTCTAGGAAAACTATGGCAAAAATATGTGTTTATTTTTGGTGTCTTTTCTCAATTGTATTTTCTCCTTCTGGCAAATACTATTTTCTGCTATATTAGTGGAGAACCAGAAGCATAGAATATGGGATCTTAAGCAGATAATGTTTCTAATACGTCAGCTGTAAGAGTGAAATTACCTGTACTGTTTTATGCATAAAAAGTCCTACCAAGAACAAGTAAGCAAGCATCTAAAGCCCTAAAAGTAAATAGTCAAAATCCTGGAGAAAAGAATAGTTTCTGGTTTTTGTAAATTCATTTCTGCTAAACTACTAAGAACATGGAGCTTAATAAAGAAGGTGGCCCTGGATAAAGAAGTTGCAATAGCATGATAGACAGCATGCGATCCATATCTCCAATTATGACAATGAAATCTAGAAAATCTTTGGAACAAATGAAAGCAATAAGCCAAAAGCTACATATAAAATACTAGTAAGTAATTACTACATGAAGCGTATACTCCAAAACTTCTCCTGGAGCTAGTGTGAGTTGAAAATTTTGGTGTGAGCACAACTCTTGATCCTCTAAGAAAAGTCCAGTCGTTGTATAAATCAATTCCCATTCTCCCATGTTGGCCAAGTGGTGTGGTGCTCATGTTTTTGAGAGCAGAAGCAAATCTTCGTTCTTGAACATTATGCTGAAAGCCTGTTGGCTGCCCAATGCAGTTAACCTGTGACAAATAGACACTAAATGTAGAAAATCTCTTTAGTCAAAAAACGGAGATTGTATTGCTCTTTACATCTGAAAGGTAAGGCACATATAGTTGATTAAAGTTGTAAATGAACCCATCCTAGCCAGCTCAACCAGTCCAACCCAAATATACAAACAACACAGAGAAAAGAAAGCAAAACAGAATAGAAGAAAGAAAAAATAACAAAATGGAAGCTTCAAATTAAAGAGTAGAAACATTGAAAGAACGCAGTTTTAAGGATCAAACCAGACAGAAACATTGGATTCTATCATGATTTTCGAATATCAACAGAACACACCAAAAATAAAATTAAAATTACTAACATCATTCAGGTTCTTATAAAATATATTTATCTAGACTAATATAAATAACTAAAACAAAGCTATCGACTTTTCCAAGAAAACCAGGTCCTCTACCCATAATCCGTAGCCATAAGCGACATTCAGATCAGACAAGAAAATTAACAGAAACAAGTTCTATAAAATACCCAAATTGGCTGCGCCAAAGCATAACACAGAGTCATATACCCAATTCCAGTCCCTTCATGTACAAAATTTTGCAGAACTTGGAATTGAAAGATTCAAGTAAGACCCAGAAAAGAAACCAAACAACAAAACAAAACCTATAAATGGTGTAATAAAAAATTTCAAAAAAAAAAAAAGGGGGGGACCTTGAGTGAGAGGGGACGGGTGAAGCAATAAGAGAAGGCCATGTTTGATGAAAAGCTGAGATACCCAATAATGGCTTCTCCATGAGCTCGTAGGCAATACTTATAGCAGTAGAAGTTATTATATTAATGTAATCGGGAATGCACTAATGCATTATGCAGTGCCAAGATTGGTGAGGTTGCATTTTGCCGGTTGGAGGAAAGA